GACCGGCAGCCCTCGCGCCGAGGCGCGGGGGAGGGTGACGTACCGCGCCTCTGACGTAGAGCTTAGCTCTGATGGCAGCCGACGCGGAGAGGTAGACGTTACCGCCGTCTGTCATCCTGTTCCGGAGGGTCTCACTTGCATTTACTGCCTGCGGTATCGTCGCCTGTTGCATAGTTGCTGCGGCCAGACTTCAGGGGGTGAAGTGTCTGATGTAAAAGTGGCAGGCAGCCCTCTTTTAGAAGCTGTCTATACTAGTTTAAAGGGAACTTCTGCCAGCTGGAACCCTTACCTCCCCTTGGTGCTGCTTTGGCTACCTTCTGTCACGTGCAAAGACACTGTAAGCAGGTTACACACAACTTAGATCAAGTATTTTATTAGTAACAAAAGACAAGTAGGATTTAATGAGCTATGAGACTGAAGTGTTAGTATGCTCACCCAAATCCAGGTGCCGATGTTGATGTTGCCAGTGTTGATGTTGCTAGCTGACAGGTTAGTTTTTCTGAGTTTTACAACATTCTTACATTACTGTTTTTTGGTTTTTATTTTTGCAGCTGCATCTCAAAAACCAAAACCTTACCTCTGTCTGCATGTTTACCTTTATTGTGCCTGTTTCTAGTCTACGTACACCCCAGCTCTATCCAACAACTTGGCAATTTCCTCAAGCTGTACAGAAAAACTACGTCCTGAATCACAGGCAGCTGAAGCTCCAGGAGGAGGAAGGGGTTACATGAGGTGGGAGTATACTGATGCTACATCATACTTACTAAAGGGAAGGGTAAAAAAAAGCAGCATGTTAAGCAATAGAGCAATTCTACTTCAGTGCCCAGAGACAAAACAATGGAAATAACTGCATTTTCACCTTTTCGAAATAACACTCCGTAGAAATAAAGAATATGTTGAACACAGTTTAATTAAGAATCATAGCCATAGTCACATTACATACGAGAACATGAATTCAGTATTCCCACTGCATAAAGTTCCACATCCATATCCAGAACGAGGAAGGGAAAAGATGTGATAGTCTTTAATGCTTACATAATTTCCAAGATGCAAAATATTAGTGAGAACAGTAGTATCCTTTTTGCGTACTATGAAGGTAGTGCTTACTGCTTTTAGCAAGAGAAGGGATTATAAATAAAAGTATCTGAACATTAGGGGAAGGAAAAACTACACCAAAAGTGTTTCACAGAATTAATGCTTTCAAACAGTACTTCAACGCAATAGCAGAGCAACAAATCCCCGAAGGTTTCATTTTGCCCTGAAAGATGTTTGAAGCAGGAGTGTAACTTGACACATATGGCAGTTAACTACACATACACGTGGAAATCCACCTTTTAAAAACAAATAGCATTTATAGTGTTTGATTCCCTTATACACAGGCACAAACTTTGCTAGCTTCTCCTTCCCTTTCTAGAACTTAATGAGACTGTGCAATACTGGAGCAGTAGTCTAAGATATCCTGTATAGTGAATTCCATAGTAATTCCTGATCCAGGATAGCAGCGAGCTATCAGCCCTTCAAAGTGCTTGTACTGTCGTATAAACTCATCTTGCATGGAATGCCACACAACCTGCCAAAGAAAACAAACATTAGGAAATGTCAGCTGGCACAATGCACTATATGTGAACTACAAAACATTGGCTCATTAATCAATTCACAGTTCAGGTGTCATTTTAAAACTAAAGCTTGCTAACAAAGTTCAGTAAACTGAGTTGCTGCATTAAAAAAAAAGATTGAAGTTTTTTACCCATTAAGTTTAAGATCTTTCATGTTTACAGGACTCCTACCAAATCTGCAAAGCAGAAAATAGTAAAGAAGTTGCCCTAAGAGAGGTATTTGCTTTTGTCCTTAAAGAAAACACCCTGAACCAGAACACCGCTACTAATTCATGTTTCAAACTTTAAAAAGCTGTTAATACATGCTTAACTCTTAAATCTACTTATCATTTACTCCAGTGAGCAAGTTCACAGAGTATAAGAAAAAACTTAAATAATTAACTATCAGAAAAAATGTAACTGAAAGTATATTCTGCTATAGCGTACCAGCTAAACTTTGTATCAGGTTAACAGTTCATTTAAATCTAGTTCTCTCTATTTCCAGTATATTTTGCAGAAGAAAGATCACCCATTAATGGACACCTAGGGAATCATAAAGGGAGTTTCTTTCTGAACTGTATCTCTACCATGACAGTTCAAATCAATGTTACAACAAATAGAACCAGAGTGGAATTGTAAAAAAATTCCGCTCAAAATTCACGTTTTTTCAGTTATGCTGAAGCTAGGCACTTCTCACAGAAAATACATGCAAAAGCAATAATAAAAGCCTTTGTGTAAACATTACAAGGTTTTCAAGCCATGATTTAGTTTACCTGAAGTAAGTTTTCTTCTTCACAGAGATGTTTATCTACCTTCTTGTAGAGATTATCCAATCCCTTCTTCACTTCCTTACCGGGATACTCCTTTATAACTTTACGAAGCTCTTGTTTATTAAAAGCCAGTTGATAGCTTACTTCCTCTTCTCGTATACCTTGTGCCACACGAGCTTCAACACCTTCAAAAAAATGCTAACAAACAGTAACAGCATTAATGATTATCACAAATCTAAACTAATTAACTTAATTTAACAAGCATATGTGTAGTTAACATCTTGATTCTGCTTGACAACTGTTGTGTGTTCCCCCCATTTTTGTTTTTTAATTGGGCATGAAGTAGTGCTCAGCCATAAACATTAAACAACAGCCCAACAATACAGCACTCCGTAAGTACTAGCACAAAACTGAAATCAATCATTTCTAGAAGCAATCAAGCTTTTCTTTGCAACCTTATAACTGATACTGAATCAGCCTCAAAATCCTCAACTAGTGAGGCCATAGCCTGAGGAAATACTGAATCTTTCAGATAAACTGAGTAAGCATCTGAATAGAAATTTCTCTACTTAAACCGTAATTACACAACAGCAGTATTTGTTCATAATTGCCCTCTCTTCTCACTGCCCTGCACCAGCTGGCTCAACATAATACAAATGGAGGGAGGTATGCCTATGAACAGGCATGTAGAGCCACATGGAGCTAACTTTCTTTATAGCAGCCCATATGGTGCTGTGTTTTGGATTTGTAGCTAAACCAGGGCTGATAACACACCAATGTTTTGGTTATTACTGAACAGGTCAAACCTGGCCAAAGGGTATTCCATAGCATGTAACATCATGCTCAGCTATAAAAATTAGGCTTAGAGGAGGGGGTGGTGGTGTTTGTCTTCAAGGTTGCTCAGAAACTGGCTGGGCATCAGTCTGCTTGTGGGAGGTAGTGAGTGACTACCTTTGCATCACTTTTTTTACTCTCTCTCCCCTACACTGATTAAACCGTCTTTATCTCCACCCCCAAGTTTTCTCACTTTTTCTCTTCCTCTTCTCTCCCCTGTCCTGCTTGGGGAGGGGAGAGTGAGCAAGCAGTTAGTTATATGGCAGCTTAGGTGCTGGCCAGAGTCAACCCACAACAAGTTCCCACTTGCAGCAATAAAGCATTTTAGTTTTCAAAAAGAGAATACATCTTAGACTTTTCAGAAAATCAATGGCTGAAATCCTGCTTATAGAAAAAAACAATGAACAGTGGGAAACATTCAGTGGGCAGAATCATAGAATTGTTTAGGTTGGAAAAGACCTTTAAGATCATCGAGTCCAACCGTTAACCTAGCACTGCCAACTCCACCACTAAATCATGTCCCTAAAGCACCACCTCTACATCTTTTAAATCCCTCCAGGGATGGTGACTCAACCACTTCCCTGGGCAACCTGTTCCAATGCTTGACAACCCTTTCGGTGAAGAAATTTTTTCCTCGTGTCCAATCTAAACCTCCCCTGGCACAACTTGAGGCCATTTCCTCTCGTCCTATTGCTTGTTACTTGGGAGAAG